TCATTAGGCATACATTGATAAACAACGTGTGATATGACGTTAAATTACAAATATGACATTTCGTTATGAAAACTGTTATAGTGTTCAAATTAACCAAACGTTTTGTGCTGATTATTGTTTTCATTGTTTATATCTCCTACTGTAGTAAGGTTCACCAAAAAACACAAATATTCGTCATTTAATAAGTCTTTTTTAAATACATAATTTTTATCATTGTTGAAAGTTTAAAATATTAACATTATTAACATTTGTTTAATGCCTTATATAATAGCATAAAACAAATTAATTAATATTTATAATTTCATTTGATAATCGACTCACTCAATACACTGGAAAAATTTTTGTAAAACAATCGATTTTTTTTGTTTTTAATAACATTATTTTCATGACAACCACTTTTTCTATGACAACCAATAATGTTTCTCGAGTCAGTCCGTAAACGTTGTACACCTCAGAATATTCTAAATAACAACTAAATCTTCCACAAAATATGTAAATCTTAAAATAGAAGACCAATAACTTTACTAATAACATTTTCTTTTTCATATTGTGTTTTTCTTTTTCCAAATCAAAAAGAACATAAAATCAATAAATTTATTTAATTTCAAGATCTTCACTTTTCTTGTCAAAATCAACAAACACCCCGGAAACGATGCCAAAATGACGATATCAAGTTGAGATCATTCAATCGGCGAGAGTTAGCTGGTTTCCACTTGTTGGGTGGAATATGGGGAGGTTTTCTGTCGGGTCGTTGCGGCACGGAGCCGCCTCTAGTTTGTTCATTTATATTTCCAATTCAATTCAATTTAATACAAAGAACAAACATCTTATGTTTTTTAGTTCAAAGATAATGTTTAAGTTCTCTAAAATCAAGGATTAATAATTTAAGTGTTTTGTTGGCTCTGTTATTCACTCTTTTTTCCTAATGATAACTATGTATTATTTCAAGGGTTTTTATAGTATAAATTATAGTTTTGTATAGAATGTTATAATATTTTTATTTATCATCCAAGTGATATACCACCATATTTTATCGGATTTAAATCCAACTCCAATACATTTTACTGCAAGTTTTATTCATTTTAATATTTTTTGTTTTTGTTGTATTTTTTAATAATAAACATTCAAAGGTTCAAAAATATATTAGAAACCATATTTTAACTATAAAATACTTATAAATGAAAACTATCAGTTGTTTAATTTAAAAGCTATGATTTTTTTGTTTTGTAATAGACCAAGAAAAAAATTTCAAAAAAAAGTTTTAAACATACTGAGCTTTATAACACAGCTCACAAATGCCTTTTGGCAACATTATTTGAATATGGAATTACAAGATCCAAGTGCTCTAAATAAATACTTGGCTTTTGTAATCAAAATAAAGTCCGAACACTTGAATTATAATTTAGTTTGATTAATATGTTTGTGTTATTTTTTGTTGTTGTATTTTTGAAAAAAAAATTTAATCGTCTTATCGTTTGTTTAATGCTTTCAATAAGACGAAGCATTGTTAATGCAAGCCTCTTTAGACTATTTTATTACAAAAAGTTTTAAATTAATCAAATTTTTTTCTATGAGTTGAAAAGATTTAAATTAAAGCATA